GCAATCGAGTTCAGCCGGACTTGGACTGGCCCCTGGGTCTGGTGGCTCCGCCGCTCTCCGGCGCCCGGCTCGCGAGGCCCGGGCCGGCCGGGCACCCTGCCCCAGGCCGGGGCGCGAGGGAGGCCCGAGCGCTCCCCGCGCGTTAGCGGAGCGCGCGTGCGAGCGGGCGGCCCGGCTGCGGCCTCAGCCCGCGCCGCGGGGAGCCGCTGGGGGCCTCGGCAGCCCCGGGCAGCCCGGGCACCGGCGCTGGGGACCCCGCCCCGCCCCGGCAGCTCTTCATCCCCGGGGCCCGGTGGAGGCGGGACCCAGCCGAGCCCTTCGCTGCGCCCATTAGCAAACCCGGGAGACAAAGGGGAAGGCTCTTCAGCGACCAGAGCGGCTCAAGACATCCCTTCCAGCGCCGTTGAAAAATAATAGCTTAATATTAACGGCTCCTCGTAAAAATATACTTCCACAGAGATACAGTTACAAGAGGAAAAACCCTCATTTTCGCCTCGCGTTTGGTGCTCGTCGCTGCTAGCTGCCTCAGTAATTTAATTGGAATGGAACGTGAGGAATGTGTCATTTTTGAGGAACTTATGCATCACTTCCTAGAAATCTCATTGTGTTAACTAGAAGCCTACTGTGTTCTGTTTAGAGGCCGTAATCACATTTTTATGTGTCTGTATTACTCGTTAATGTGACCTCCTGTCTTTAGCAGATTAAAACAAATGTTCTCTTCATAACTGCAGCAAACGCCGCTTTGCATCAGAGACACGGAAACCCTGTTCTCCAGACTCACCAACTTTTCCTCAGAGCAGGGGAAAAGAAAACCTGAAGAAGGAAAAAAAAAAAAAAGCGCCTACCAAATGAATAATTACACACCAAATTAAAACCCTGCATTAAGCGCGCTCAACAGCAATACTGCGTTCTCAATTCTGTTTACTGCTTACAAATTGCATTACAAAGGAATCTACTCTTTTTATTGGAGCGATTAAGCAAAGAGTCCTAAGACTGCAGAAACACGATTCTGGGAGATGAGATGGAGGCTGCAAGCCCAGCCGCTTAGGTAATGGTGGATGTATAATGTTGTTAAGGCGCACGTTTAACACACAAATGAGCATCGGGCCGTCGTTACGGCACCGTAAAAAAGTCAGCGAAAACCGTAATAATTTACAGACACCTCGCCTATACAACGGCTACATTTAATACAAAGGAAGCAAGCTAGTTCGCAATATTTTAATTACTAATTTTTTTATCACATCTCCCGGTTCCGTGGGGTACTTTATGGAGCTGTCGTTTTTCCGTGCTCTCCTCCCGTTAGCAAGTGGGCTGAAACCCGTGTGTTTTCTTCCTGTCGCCACTGTGGGCGGAGCAGGCCAGAGGGCCAGGGTGAGAGAGTTTGGTAATGGCGCCACCTGCAGGGCCCTAGGAGAAGGACGTTCCCCACGTCTGCAATCCTGCCCAGGACGCTGGGCATACTTCAGGTTTATCTTAGCAAGTCCACCAAAACAATTGAATAGTTTCGTTATCGTAGAAAGAGCGGAACATTCAAGACAAATCCCAGAGTTTTCAGAATATTTTGGTCCTGCTAAACAGTGCTTAAGTTCTGGCACTAAGATGAAGTGTTGGCTAGATTGGAAAGGCTTGTAACTTTGCAGCTACACAGAGAAGATTTTCCCAAAGGAATAATTTATCTTTTAGAAACATTTGATTTGTTTTTAATTATGTGTGAGTGTGGGTGTCATGAGTACCAAAGCCCCCTGCATGTCCAGAATAGAGCCTGGGGTCTTTTGAGGTTATAGGCAGCTATGAACCACCAGACATGCGTTCTGGGGACTGAAGTTGCGTCCTTTGCAAGAGCAGTGTGTGCTTAACCACTGAGTCATCTCTCTACCCCTTAATTTATCTTGGAAACAATGGGATAAAAGAGGCAAAATTCACCAGATGTGGTGGTGCATGTCTGTGTGTTTCTGAATCCAGCGTGGCCAGATAATGATCGGTAACCAGTCATACTTGACGGAAGTAGGAGAAAGATATGCCCTTTTCCTCCTTTTTATACAAGTATCAAACAAAGGATCACACTTTTTCCATATGAACTTGAAACCATGTAAATACGCTATTAAATCCTCAGTGTTAAGGAGCTAGAGAGATAGAGGGCTCAGTGGTTAAGAGCGTGTCCTGGTCTTGCAGACCATCCAAGTTCAATTTCCAGCCCCCACATCAGACAGCTCACAATTGTACCACCAGCTGCAGATATGAGACCTCTGGTTTCCAGCACACACATATGTGAAATTGGAAAAGAAAACAAATCATTCGGAATAAAATAAAATAAACTTAGATGTTAAGCATATAGAATTGACCTTACACTCTATACTCTAGAAATAAACTATGTTGAATGTGAACTGTAACAAAAGGGAAAGAAGAAACAAAATACTACTACAAATAAATAAATAATAAATAATAAAGGTGTCTTGTTTGCTGGAGAAATAAGCTGAACTGGCCTTGCCTCACGGGAACATGGGTTTGGAGATTTGTCTCAAGTGACCGATAGCCCCCTTCCTTGCCTCCCTGCTCTTCCTGTTTTAGATTTTAGCCTCTGTGTCCTCCTCCACTTGGCCCTCTTTCCTTTCTTGTAACAGCTATCCAAAAAATTCATGTCACTTTTGTTTTGCTAAAACAAAGCAAATTCCTAGCAACCATTCAACTCTGGGGGACCATGAATGAATTCCGTTCTCCGTGATGACTGAGTTAGTGCCGAGACGCCGTGGCATGGGTGGACTCGTGCAGTTGTAGTGTTTATCCAGAACACCGCTGTGTGTGCTGACCTCTAGAACCCAGGTGGTTCCCAGCTAATTCCCCAACCATCGTCTTGCAGCTGTGATGTCATGCTCTTGAAAGGGCAGGACACAGAGTGGAAAACTCCCCGTTGCCTGGTGTTCAGTTTATTAGTGTGGCTGCTACACATGGCTGCATGCCAGCTGGGATGGTTTGGATGTAGATCGTGAATGCCATGCCGGGAAGTTACCACATGTCGGGAATGTGGTAGCTTCCACATGGAACAGAGAGAGAGAGAGAGAGGGAAAGAGGTAGCTGGAGGGAGCTCTTCCTCTCCAAGCTCTGCTTGCCCTACCTGAGGGGCTCCAGAAAATCTATGTCAGTGGCTCCCAACATTCCTAATGCTGTGACCCTTTAATACAGCTCCCCATGTTGTGGTGACCCCAACCATGAAATTATTTTGTTGCTACCTCATAACTGTAGTTTTACTACTGTCATGCATAGTAATGCAAATACCTGTGTTTTCCGATGGTCTTAAGCGACCCCTGTGAAAGGGTCATTCATCCCCAAAGGGGTCACAACCAACAGGTTGAGAGCCAGTGACCTAGGGCAGGTTTCCTGGCTCTATTTGGCTGTGAGGGCCAGGGCGAATACTGAGTCTGCCTGGCCGATGAAGTGTCCGAGCCGAGGCTCCAAGCTCTGCCTCCAGCAGGCTTTCACGAAGCTCAGATAACCATGTGAACAAATGTCAGTAGAGAAGTGAAACAACCCCCAAGCCCAAACCAAGCTGAAGACAGCAAATGTTTGTGAGGGCACGGGGCAGTAGGTAGCCTTGTGTGTTGGTGGGAACGCAGAACGATGCCATAGCTCTGGGAAGCTGGCTGAAGATCTCTCAGGAGAACAAGAGCTGAAGGTAGAGCCATTACCTGGCCCACTGGTCCCACTCACAGATATGTCAACTTGACAAGACCTAGCATCACCTAGGAGACAAACTTCTGGGCATGCCTGTGAGGGAGCTTCTAGATTGTGTTGAGGTGGGAAGGCTCGGGGTAAATGGGAGTGGCAGCATCCCTCAGGATGGGGTCCTGGACCTGATGAAAATGAGAAGGTGAACCGAGCACCAGCATCTCTCTGCTTCCTGAGTATGGCTGAGATGTGAATGGTGCCTGCCCCCATTGTGATGGAGTGTGTACATTCCAATTGTGAATCAAATAAACTTTTTCTTCCTTAAATTGCTTCTTTCTGGGTAGCTGATCACAGCAACAATAATTTTTTTTTCTTTTGTGGTGGATACCATGATAGTTTAGAATACAGCTGAATATTTTCTCAGATGGGTGGGATGGATGGAGAGGGTGGCTGTGGATACGGCGCAGAGGACAAGCGCCCTCATTCCGAGAACTAGAGGGGGTCTGGCTTCTGAGTGCCTGGCAGGGCTGTGTCTTTCCCTACTTCCTCTTACTGTTTGTAGGACTGAAGGGAAGTATCTGTTGAGTTCTTTATCTGGGCTGGACTCTGGGCCTCGGTGACACTTAGAAGCAGCAGTGAAGTGTCATGTTAGTGGAGAAACCTGCATGCCCAGAACACTCCAGCCCGCCAGATTCCAAGCCTGTAGGAGATCTGCCATCAACCATCTCATCATCCCTAACCTAACCATACTTAAGAGGGGTGCATACAAGCAAGCTGCAGATGACTTTCTTGACTTTGTTTTTTCTGAGCTCAGGTGTCTCTCAGTCTATGTGCTTTTCTTGGCATCTTGCTTTTGGTATCACTCACCAGAGTGGGACCAGCAGGGGTTGATCTAGGGTTTCAAGCAGAAGACGTCTGAATGACCAAGGTCCGGCTTGCCATCCTCCAGCGTGCTCAGAGTGCTGGGGTCCCAGATGTCTGCAAGCACAATGGGCTCCATGAAGTACACCTGGCCCTGGAGCTGGTGTGCTCCTAGCTGGCATCTGCTACGTTCTGGGCACGGTTCTCCTCCAAGTGGCTTGGCTCCAGGAGGGGTGGGCAGCCTTTCCTACAAGCCCAAAAGTCTATAGCCTTGGGGAAGAAGTGCCCATGCTGCTGACCCGGGGGGCGCGCTGGAGATAAGCCTTGGAGACCGCTCTTATCTCTTAGTCTGACTTTGGCTTAGGATACTTTCTGACAGCAACTACTGAGCCACTGACCGAGCATACCTCATAAGCAACCAAGAGGAAGAGAGGACTTTCTAAAATAAATAAATAAACAAGTTTATATTTGTTTGCTTTATTTTGTAAATGTTTTGCCTGCATGCATATATGTACATTCAGTGCCCATGGAGGTCAGAGGACAGCCCCGGAACCCCCGGAACTTGGAACTCGAGGTATGAATGACTGTGCACAACCAGGTAGCTGCTGGGAATTGTACCCAGGTCCTCTGCAAGAGCAGCCAGTGCCCTTCCCTGCTGCATCCATCCCTCCAGCCCCAGTAACAGAGAGGCTTTTTTACCAGTTCCATATCAGGGTATGGTTTAGGCTCTGTGCCTCTGCTGGTCACTTGGGAGACGGAGAGGGCTGGATGTGCACCCCGTTCCCCTATACTGGCCCTCTGATACTGGCTTTGTGGAAAGGCAACTGGCTCCAAGCCTGTAGTTTCAGTGCAAAACCCCCTCTGGCTCCAAAAGCAGATAATTTTGCAGCGTCTCCGGCAAGGGTAGCTGGGGCACAAGGTGAACACACTTCTTGCCAAAGAGTTTTCGAATGGTGCAGCGGCAGAGGTGCTGCAGGCAGCGCGGGGCATGCGCCAAGGCGAAGAAGGACCTGTAGAAAGGCTCGTGCATCTAGAAAGGAAGGAGAGGAAGAGAAGGCAGTGCCTGGAACTGACATTCTCCCTGGCAAGTGCATTGATGGTTCATGCCATGGTGTGGCTCGCCAGCGCCAGGGAGACACAGCAGAGCGAAAGCCCTGTCACCTGAGGCCTGGCCTCCACTCAGGGGCTTCACATGCTTTTCCAAAGTAAAGCTCCCACTGTGTTAGAGGGACCCTCTCTGCCCTGCCCCTGGCACAGCAGCTCTGGGGGGGACCCATCAACCTGAAGCGGGCCAGGCATGCTGTCTCCAGGCAGCAGTGGGTTCAGGAGCCAGCCGGAGCCCATCAGCTCAAGGCTCTGTAAGGCATTCACTAACACTGGAAGAGAGATCCCGGGATCTCTGGGAGCTTCGGGAAGGAAGTGTTCCCTCTCGTTGGGATCAGCAGCCGCCTGTGGACTCTGTCGTGTGTGGACACAGTATCACAGTGGTGCAGGTCACATGTCATATTCTGCAGTTCCTACACGGGGGGGGGTAGTGTGTCTGGAAAAGGAGCCCGAACTTGTAGCTTCAATGCCTCATTTCTTGCACGCTCGCTCCCCGAGCCTCAATACTCTTCAAGCCATCACAGTATGGTTGTTTGTTGCCCATGTGCAATAGCACCTCACAATTGTCCCTTGGTGTTCACAGAGGTTCCAAGGACAGAGGACAGTGAAGTTCATGGGCGGGCAACTCTCTTATGTGATACAGACACAGTCCTCCCATTTACTCTCAGGCACCTCTAGATTACCCATGATGCCTCCAACAACGTAAATGCCACGTAGAGAGATTGTTGTACGTGGTGATATTTAGAGAATAAGCAATGAAAGTCTGTATCTTTTGGGGGGAATCTTATTTATCCCCAATACTTTTGACCTATGGTTGGTTGACTGCATAGGGGCATTGCCCACAGATCACCAACTGCTCCCCTCAACTTTCCTGCCTGCCTTCTTCAGATGTTTTACTTCCTGGATGGTTTGATGTCAGCTTGACCCAAGCTAGAGTCCTTGGAAGGAAGGAGTCTCAACTGAGAAACTGCTGGCTTAAGGCATTAAATTAGTGACGGATATCAGCCCATTGTGGGTGGTGCCATTTCTGGGCTGATGGTCCTGGGTTCATCAGGCTGAGCAGGCTATGATGAGCAAGCCAGCAAGCCAGGAAGCAGCACCCCTCCATGGCCTCTGCATCAGCTCCTGCCTCCAGGTTCCTGCTCTGCTTGAGTTCCTGTCCTGACTTCCTTCAGTGATAAAGAGCAGTGTGGAAGCGTAAGCTGGATAAACCCTTTCCTCCCCAGCTTGCTTTTTGGTCATGGTGTTTCATTACAGCTACAGAAGTCCTAACCAAGTCACAGGGCTTGAGAGCCAAACTGCAGGCAGAGAAGCGAGAAGGGACTGAGACTCCTTACCTGGTACACGTCCTCAGGGACGGCCTCCCGCCAGGACTCAGACACTCGAAGCTGAGCGTAGGAGTTGAACAGAACCTCAATGACAGCGGGCACCTGTGCACATGTTCTCAGCACCTGGGGAAGTGAGAGGCCGGATGCAGGGGGAGGAGCTTGAGGTCCAAGGAGAGAGAAGCTGGAGAGGCAGGCGTGTTCTTGCCTGTCATGCCCGCCACTCCCTGGCCTTGTGACCGAAAAGGCCCAAGTCACACCACACACAGTGATGATCCCAGAGCAAAAGTGTTGTCAGTGAGCTAATCTGCCAGGTGCAGGAGGCAGAGACTCTTCAGGGAGAACACACCCTCTGCACAGCCACCTGTGGAGTGAGGGCTGGGGCTTACTGGTCAGGTTTAGGGGAAGGGGTAGGTTGGGAGATGTTGATGGGTGTCAGCCCCCTGCCTCTGCAGAGCTGCTCAGAGCAAACGAAAGCTGTTCCGTGGGCAGTGTGGCCTGAGGATTGTCTTCCCAATTTCCCACCTCCGTTTTTCAGTGTCAGGAAAGAAAGAATGGGTGGATCGGGGAGAAGAATTGTCTTACATCCCACAACCCTCACAGGCAAAGATTCTTTTTATTTACTTTCAAAGATTTAGTTTAATTCTGTTTATGTGTCTCTCTGGGAGTATGTGCATGTTTTAGCCTGGTGTGGTGGCGCACGCCTTTAATCCCAGCACTTAGGAGGGCAGAGGCAGGTGGATCTCTGTGAGTTTGAGGCCAGCCTCGTCTACATGGTGAGTGCCAGGACAGCCAGAGCTACATAGTGGGACCCTGTCTCAAAAAAATTCATTTTTTCCTTGTTATGTGTGTGTGTACATGACTTGAGGTCATGTACCCAGTGTGCATGCTTGAGGAAGGCAGAAGAGGGCGTCAGATTGCCTGGAGTTACATGGGATTTGGAGGAGCCTAATGTGCGTGCTGGGAACAGAACCTGGGTCTTGTTGAGAAATAGTAAACACTAATGTTTTTATAATTATTTTGCGGCTAATGTTCCCCCATCTTTGATTACTGTTCTTCCTTACCTTGTCACCATACTCCACTGGCTGCAGGCTTTCGTTTTGTGTTGACATTGATAGTTGGCTCTGCCATCTTAGTCCTAATGTTCTGTTTTTCATTTCTTTGTTTTTGGAGACAGTATCTCGCCATGTGGACCTCCAAGCCTGGCTTTTTCTGTTAGCTTCTTTCAAGAATTTATTTTTTTACATACATTGGTGTTCTGCTTGCATGTGTGTCACGAGGATGTCGGATCCCCTGGGGGTTGGAGTTGCAGACAGCTGTGAACTGCCATGTGGTTGCTGGGAATTGAACCCAGGTCTTCTGGAAGAGCAGCCAGTGCTCTGAATCATTGAGCCATCTCTCCAGCCTTACTGTTAACTTCTTAAGATATAAAATTTCAACCTCTTAGTTATTGGGAATCATTTACAAAGTAAATTGGGATTTTTCAATCAATTGGGAATTTATGTCATTGGGATTGAGAAGACACAATAACCTTCTTTTTAAAAGTTTATTTATTATGTATACAGTGTTCTGCCTGCATGTACACCTGTATGCCAGAAGAGGGCACCAGATGTCATTACAGATGGTTGTGAGCCACCGTGTGGTTGCTGGGAATTGAACTCAGGACCTCTGGAAGGGCAGCCAGTGCTCTTAACCTCGGAGGCATCTCTCCGTCTTTTAAAGTACTTTTTAGGGTTCAAATCTTTGCCACTGAACTATGCTTCCAGCAGGTGACAATGGTTGCTTTTGACATTGCTGAAGCCTGGTACTTAGTTGAAGGTAATAATCTCACATTTTCAATTTCTCTGTGGTTATTATTTTAGCCTTTCTGGGATCAAAATGACTTTCTTTTTGGGTAAACATTCTCCATTTTAGAGGAGTTTAGTGGAGAATGTGAAAGGCCATGGGCAGGGCAAGGCTCCGGGGAGCAGCCCCTGGCACTGTGCGGAGCCCCTCTCTCTAGCGCAGCTGTAGGGTGTGGGGCATGGCAGTGGAGGAGCCGTAGGACCGGTTTCACTTAGAGGCGGCTGATGCGGAGAGCTTCGGAGGCAGAAACACCACACTTCCACAAGTCCAGGGAAAGCTGGCAGTCAGTGTGGTCCACTCTCAGGGTGGCAGTCAGGAGGGAAAGAAAGTGTCTTCCTTTTCATGGTTTTTCACCCTCTTGGTGGTTCTTCTTCACCCTCCTGGGCTGTTTTCTCATCTCCATTTCTTTTTTCCCAGAGAGGGATGTCTCTCTGTCATCTCTTTTCTCCTGTCTCTCAGCTAGTTTCTTGAACCCAGTTTCTTGGTACCATCCCCATGGCACTGGGCTCCACGCTTTTTGAATCTCACTCCCTTGAGCTCTGGGATTGAATATCCGATGGCTCCCTTCAGACCTCCTCTTCATTCCATGTTAGACAGGGAGCATTGAGCGCTTTGCTCCCCAGTTCACACTGCTACCTGCTGCCCTGGCCTTGTCTCTGTCCATCTGAGCTTTTGGCACACCGTTGCCCTGACTCTTGGGCTGGAAGCCTTGGGGCCGTCTTTGACTTCCGTTTCTCTCACTCTCTGCATTCATTCTGTGGAGAAGGCCTCACAGCTCTGCCTTCAAGGTCCATCCTGAGTCAGAGTACCTCCTTAGCCTAGGTGGTGTCCAGCATGGTGGTCACTGTGTCAGCATTCCAACTTGCCCTCCTCTTCTCTTCCTCATGGAAGTGGGGAGCAGCTTATGAAACATTAGTCAAGCAGAGCCATTGCTCTGCAGACTCACCGATGGCCAAAGTCGCAACAGTGTCCCTCAGAGCCCTTTCCAGTCTCCTACCCTCATCATCTCTGACCACCCTCATCCACCTCCGTCCCCAGTTATTTATATGAAGCCCCAGCTGCCCCAGTCTCAGGCCACATATTGATGGCTCATTTGGATTGCTTGTCCCCAGACCTCAGCACAGCCCACTTCCTCATTCCTTTCAAGTTTTGCCTCAAAGGCCACCAACCTTAACTCCTCACTCCAAACTCACTGCTACATTGGCCCATTCTCTTTCTTTCCACCATGGACACTATCTGGATAAAAATGAAGCTCCGCGCCAACCCTGAAAACAGTACAATAAAGCCAGGGAGTTCCGGGGGAAGGGCTTGCAGGGCTACACGCTGGCCCAGGATCGGTGGGCACAGCCTCGTACAGAGGACACTGTTGCAGGGACATTTCCCTGAAACTGTCGGCTTCAGCTGACAGCACCCTGATTACTAGCTCTGAGGCCAGGGATTCTCATTTTAAAATATCACACAGGATTCTCCTAATTAAAAGGATCTGCGTGCACTTATGCATGTGTGTACGTGGGTGTGGGTGTCCCAGCACACGTGGCTGGGGGTCAGAAGGTTATTTACCAGGAGTCAGCTTTCTCCTTCTACTGTATGTGTCCCGCAGACTAAACTTGGGTCACCGGGCTTCTTGGCAGAGCCTTTGTCTGTAGAGCTCTTGCTGGCCCATGCAGTTCTCCTAATTCTCGCCCCCCTTTGTTTTCAGATAGGATCTTGCTGTCTATCGCTGGCTGACCTCTAACTTGCAATCCCTTTCCTCCATTCCCAACTGTGGGATTACAGGCATGTGCTATTGTGCCTCAGTTAATCTGTGCTCTTGAAATCACTCTTTATCTCCCCGGCTTTGCACTCACTCACAGTTCGCCATGGTGTGTGCTATCTTTCTGTAGTGCTTTGAAACCTCCTGGTTCAGGATGCTTTTCTGAGGAGACCCTCTCTGTGGTTGTTGTCCAGGTGGTTAAAGTTTCCTCTGCCGTTTCCTGCCATTGGTTTGTTATGCTTGTGGCTAACAACGCCTTTCTTCCCTGCTTGACCGAAGGATCCTTGAGGAATTATGGTGCTTTCTGATCGGCTCACCCATTTATCCATAGTACCCAGCGTAGTGAGAATTCTGGAATTTTGGTTTCTTTAAAAACATAGACTTATTTCCAAGTGGGTTCCCTAATAAGGGGAACAGGGACTGTCTCTGACATGAACTCAGTGGCTGGCTCTTTGATCACCTCCCCTTGGGGGATGCAGCCTTACCAGGCCACAGAGGAAGATGATGTAGCCAGTCCTAATGAGACCTGATAAGCTAGGGTCAGATAGAAGGGGAGGAAGACCTCCACTATCAGGTGACTAGGGGAGGGGCATAGGAGGAAAAGAGGGAGGGTGGGCGGGAATGGGAGGAGATGAAGGAGAGGGGTTCAGTGGGATACAAAGTGAATAAATTGTAATACATACATATATAAATTAAATTGAAAAAAAAAACCCACTGAAATAAGAATGTCTTTTCATTTTAATTTCCAGGTGTGGGGATATGGGACTGCTTCGGACTGTCCACACCAGCTGACTATGATTTGCCTGTGTTCTGACAGAGCATGCTTTTGCCAGCTGCAGATAGATTCTTCAATTGTGTGATGTTTGGAATTCTGGGAATTTTTCAGAAGATATGCAAATGCTAGAGCCCCCAATAGGTGGGTTGGTGGTTGGGGGGAGGTTGGTTGCGGTTTGTTAGTAGTCGTGCTCAAAGAAGAAGCAAGAAGAAAGAAATCAGATTCAAGGATCTCTCTCTCCTATCCTTTCTCTCCTATCTAGTGAGAGGGGGTGAAACTGGGGGATAAAGGGTGGGAAAAACCCCACAAAGTAGCAAAGACAAGCTACAACCCAGTATCTTGCTGGTGCCTGACTGCTACTTGTATGTGTAAATAATTGAATAGAAATACTTTTTGTTGTTGTTGTTAAAAAAAGGATCAAAGATATGTTTTCTGAGCTGTTCATATCTGAAGATATCATTCTTTTGGCATCAAATGAAGGCCATCCTGGCTCAATCTAATATTCTAGTGTCCAAACTTTTCTTTCAAAAATCTGTTGAGGAATTTTTCAGCTTCACTAGCAGAGAGTCTTTCTCTCTGTGTGTCTGCTGTATGTGCGCATTTTTTCTTTACCTCCAGTGAATGCTTTTTTTCAACCCAAAAAAACATGTTGAGAAGGTTGAGGTTGTAGATCAGTTTGTTAGAGTGCTTGCCTAGCACCTAAGAGGCCTGAGTTCCACTCAGGGCATAATATAAAATTCTGGTGTGGCGGCA